GGATGACCTGCCTGATGATCCCGCACGCACACGCTCACTCAAACCTTCTGCTTCTCTATCAGAGCGTGGTTCTGAAGCCTACATCAACTGTTCATGGTCCCCCGCCCCAAGGCCCTCCCTCCAATAGACTCCAAGATACCCGAGGGCAGTGACTTTGTTCAACCCCTCCACTCTATGCCACCCCAAGTACAGTAACTGGTCTACCACGGACCCTCCATGCATCTGTGCAGGGTGGGTGGACATGTGTAGGAGGAGGCTGGGTGGCACAGTGGTTAAGCACTCAGTGGCAAACGAAAAGGTCTGTGCTTTCTACCCACCAGCCAGCCGTGGCTCGGGAGGAGGTTGGGCAGGCTGCTTCGCTGAACATGGCAGCCTTGGACGAGCTGTGGGCAGTTCTCTGTCCTCTAGGGTTGCTATGAGCTGGACTCATCTGGACAGCACTGGGTTTGGCCCTTTCAGTTTCGAAGTATGTGTCAATGAAAGCGTGCTTGCAAAACGATCACGTCACTTGAGATGGTGGAAGGAACGATGACTGAATGGACGGTGGCACTGCCCAGCAACACTCATGCCACTCATGGTTCAGGCCATAGTTGGAAACACTCAAATGAAAAGCAGAAGGAACTACTTGGGGGCACGAAGCACTGGGGAGGCAGTGGGTGGGGAAGTGGGGGCTGGGGAAATGCATACCCAGAACTCTTCGAACCCAACCTTCATTCTCTGGAGGTCAAAGGCATAAGGATTGGACTTTTAAATCCCTGGCTGTAAAGCTCTCTTTGGGGCTGAACTGGAAATGTTGGGATAACTGTCCATTCCAGGATCATGAAGGTGGTCCAGGGCTGAGTAGCCCTGTCCTCCATTGCACATGGGGTCACCCACTAGGAGTCAGCGCCAACTCTTCAGCAGCTAACAAATCAGGACAGAGCTTAGTAATCCTAAGGCTCAAATATGTGCTTAGTAATGCGGCAGTTACATAATCTCCTGTCAACTTGTGAAGGGGTGGAGTCTAGCCTGTCAATCATCCCATAGCCAATGAGGCTTCTGTGTGGGCATGGCCTTCTTCTGAGGATTTTGTGAACTCAAATATTCCTCCCTGGAGGTGGGAGACACTCTCTGCTTCATCTTCCTGCTGACAAGACACATGGAGCTACGCTGGTGGAACCAGAGCCCTGGAGCTGGAGGAGCCATGTGGAGACCTATGCCAGTGCTGAGAGGCTTCCACCGCCACTGGATCCACGAAGACTTTCCACCCACTGGCCTGTGATCTTTCTGCATCCGGCATCATTGTATGTGTTGCGTGAGTCTGAAGAGGAATTTATAGACTGGTATTGGACCTACGGGCTAATCTTGGACTTTTGGACTTGAACTAGACTGGGCTGGAATGGTTTCTTAATATACAATACTCTTTGATACAAAGCTCTTTCTTATACACATATGAGTGCCTATGATTTTGTTTCTCCAATCAACCCAGAATAACACAAATATTAACTTCGTGATTAAAAGCCCTTCTCCAAATGCAGACAGCGAAGAGCCAGAGACTGTGTGGGGTTCTTTTACCTTTTTACTTCCTGCACATAGTCTGCATTTCTGTCAAACAGGTGGGTCACGGAGTCTTTGATGGCTTCGTGCTTGAAAGTAGAAGCTGTTCCAAAGACGGTCACATTGGGGATGGTGGAACACAACTGAGCCACAGCTTGGCCCTGGAAGCGAAATACAATAGACAAGTTACACACAAAAGCCACCATCCAACCCGCTGGCTTGCTGGGTATAGAGCGGAATCTCTCAACCGCGGCACGATCATCATTTTTAGGATGGATCAGTCTTAGAGGTGGAAGGTGGTCTTGCCCTTTGGAGAAGTTTTAGCAGCATCCCTGGTAGCCAGTCATTGTATTCCAGCAGCCTCCTCCTGCTGTGGCAGCCGAAGATGTCCCCAGACATTGCTAAGTGTCCCCAGGGGACAAAATTACCCCTGGTTGAGAATCAGTGAGGTAGAGGAAAGTCTATTGGACTGTAGGGCATTAGAACCCGGTACATTCCAAGCTCCAAGACTTAACAGTTATTCCTGAACCACACGGAGCCTCAGGCTCCCTCCCCATCTATTCATCAACAACAATGGTACCTATTGTCACGGGATCTGAGGGAATAGCTGAGTTTGGATCCTCTCATAGCAAACCCTGAGACAAGGATGTGAGTGGCCGGCAGACTCTTCCTGGAAGGTGACCTCAGGGAACATCAGCGTGGGCAAGGAAGACAGAGAAGGAAAGTGGGCTAGCAAGCCTATTTCCACCAGGAGCGACTGGAGCACAACCTCTCCGTAAACTGTTAGTACGCGCAGAAGCCAGCTAAGAATTAGCCCACCAGGAGGCAAGGAAGCGGACATTGGTGGAGGGTTGCTTCTACAAAAGTTACTTCCGGCTTGTCCTTACGAATCCAGTGTGTCCTTCTGGCCAGAGCCAGGCCTTCCATGTGGCATGCTGTGCTGAGGACACTGGGCACACTTGATAACATCTGCTACCCCAACCCCCAAACACACAAACCCACCCACTGTCATTGAGTCCGTTCCAATTCACAGCACCTTGAGAAGGTTTCCAAGGCTGGGCCTCTTTACAGCGAGCAGAGAGCCGCACGCTACACACGGTCCTATGTCCCACAGGTCCAACATGTGCCCCGCCATAGCACGTAATAGGACGCATTTCATTCTCAATGTTCTTTCCCCCAGACTGGCTTATTCTATCCAGAGCACCTAAAGAAACGGTCACTACATGCATTTTACATGTAGTCATGGTCCAGGAGAAATCCCGAATGGGTGATTTTTCCATATCCTTTCCCCAAAATCTGAGTCGCTGGACGAGAGACTGTGCTTCCTGTACCTCTAGACCCCTTTCAGTGAAAACTCAATTTGCTGGTAAGGAACATGAATTCTAACAGCCAGCACCTCTCTTTCCAGCACCTCCACCTGCCATTTCAAGGAGGGAAATTATTCTGCCCAAGTGAGCTGCAGTATGACCATCTGCCTATTGCCTTATTTACATGTCTTCGTGTTGGTGGACTGAATCAGGCTGGCAGGTCAATTTATGGAAATGTTACCTCCCCACCAGCTGCAATTAAAGGCCTTTCGGGGAGAATCATAAAATGTCAGGAGTCGGGAGATCACCCACTTATACCCCACCCCCTCGTCGTTGTCGATGAGGGAAGGAGACTCAGAAAGGTTAAGGTCACCCAGTTTTTCAGAGGCTAATCTGGAGCACAAAGGAGGGTCTAATGGCTGTTAGCATGCCGTTCTCTGATATGCCACGCTGTCTACTTATTTTGACACCCCGAGTTAAACACACTTTTAACTCGAGGCCTAAAATAGGTGTGTTCCTGACACATTTGCTTGGAGGTCAACATTTCAGAATTTGGATGTGAACCTAAGACTGCAGACAGGCTATCGTTTTCTGTTCTAAGAATAGCTTTGCTATTTGTTTAATTTTAGTATCCCTGGACTGGAGGGACCACGTGGGGGACTGGCCTTTCCTAGCAAGTGTAAATATCACACACCAACTCTAGCATTTCTCGAAAACTCCCAGGGCTCGGTATACCATGATGTCACTTCATGTGGACAGGGCTCAAGTGAGCCTGATGGAAGATCACAATGAATTCCAATATCCTTAGAGCCCTCTGTTCTCAGGCGAACATGCCTTTTGTCCACTCAACTCTCGTTCAAACGCCCATCATGCACTCTGCTACGGATGCTGGTGGAACAAAGCGGACACCACCCTCTACCTTTAGTCCTCAGCCCCTAACTTGGGTGTCATCTACCCCTTTGGCATCTGTTCTCCACCTGGCTTTCCCAAGAACTCAAACTCAACTGATGCAGAAGGCAATGCAACCCAACCTGCCCCATGCATGCTTTAGTAAAACATACTGAAAGGGTACAGCAGGAATGGTCAGAGTTTGGTATGTCAGAGCAAAACCCCCTGTCATCTTGAAGCTTTCCAGACCTTTTAGAATTTAGAATAACCACTAGATACCATTTCCCAACCAAGCCAGACCTCATCCTTCTGAAGATGACATGTGGTGGTAACATGAGATTATAGAAGTGATGGATTACAGGGAGAAAACGTGAATTCCAAGTTACATTTTCTCCTCAGGATACATCCAATTGCAGACTCCCTGCTGATCTGTTTTCTTTTACTGAATGGCATGGCTCTTCCTGAGGTCTAAGTTAAAAATAATCAGGTGCACAGATCTCCTCAGGTGGATGAGCTTTGACCATGGAATACCCTGTGGGTAAACACTAAACACAGCAAGATACAGGACATTTCTAGCACCCAGATAACTTCCCTGTCTTTAAACTTGCTATCAAGTCACTTAGGAACTAAGAGGCCCGTGCAAGATCCTCCATGAATTTTTGTTAAATAAGTAAATACTCAGCATTCTGTATTTAAACAGAAAAGTGCTTTCCTTCCCATTTAGAGAAAGTCTGTCCTCTCCCTTTGGCAGATCCCAAGGTGAGTGCAGCATCAGCATCTAATTTATCCTCCCTTCTCCCAGGGGCCCAGCAAATAGCTTATACTCAATAAACATTTGTGGAAGGCTGAATGAATTTTCAATAAAAAGGATTTTGCAATTTACCTTCACACCCAGAACGTAACAGGACATAAAATGAACACGACAATCCATTCTTCCAACAACAACACTAAATGGAAATCTGCATGCGCATAGTTTTAATCAATTCCCTTTTCCCTCTCTAGAATGTAACAATTCTGAATGGAGCCCGCATGCCTCCTCTGGATTGTGAACGATAACAATCATATGCCCCACCATGTGCGAGACACCGTGTTAAAGGACTCCATGAGGTCCCTAACTACCACTGGGGTAAGTATACGTGGTTTTTATGTGTCCACTCAATACATTTTAACAAGATTGGAGTCCAAAGACAGGGTCATTACATGAAAACTAGTGTTCTGGGAAAATGGACGGTAACCGTATCCGATCACAAAATGGAGGATGATTAGATCAGTACATAACTGCCCCGTCTCATCATTACATAACTCCCAAATCATTCAGCCTCATAGCCCAGTGGAGCTGACACATAACCTTAACCATCACAGCCAGTGAGTGTGACTCTCGCCTTGGATCCCAGCGCTTCTTTTTACCAGACACAGCATCGTTCATGTGCAAAATCGTCATGTAGTATATTTTTTCACAATTGTAAATGTGAGACGTCAGATGAGACAGTCACTAAGTAAGGTGTACTTCTTACAGTCACTAAGTGAGGAACAGATGTGCTTATACAAACGGGTTAATATGTATCAGTACATTGGTACTAATTTGTTAGGGCAGCCTAGGAAACGAATACACCGACTAAGTGGGAAATTAGACTACGTGCTCCGGCCAGTTGGCTGAGATTCAGAATTCGGCATCAGACACTCAACTAAAAGACAAGTCTACCAGGGCTTGAAAGAGCGTCTGCAACGTAGACACTGCCGGTCTCCCTGGACTCATTTTGCACCACAGTCCAGAACTCCAGGTTTGGCCAGGTGAAAACAATGCACATTTCCTCCGAAATGTCACACTCCCTCCTGCCCCCAGGCCTTAGTGCATGCAATTCTCACTGTCTGGAACCATCTTCCTGGTCTCGTCTTCTGGCCAACCCTCCTTCATGGTTTAAATCTCAGTCTCTCTGTTATTCATTCAATCATCCTATGAGAGATGGGGAATTACAAAAGTGGATAGATTTTATATTGTCCTTCTCATCTTGGATGGGGCCTTTGTGGCAGTGTTCAAAGAGCTTGGGCACTAATCACAAGGTTGATGGTTCGAACCCATCTTTGAGAGCAAGATGTGACAGTCCACTTCGGTAAAGATTTCGAGTCTCAGAAACCCTATGGGCAATTCTACTCTGTCCTATAATGTTGCTATGAGTCAAAGTCAACTCAATGGCGATGAGTTGTTGATTCTAATGGAAATGTGTTATGAATACAAGATGCGTACTAGTCAAAGTACAGTTATATACCAGAGCTGTGAGGGTGAGAACACCAATTCCAGCCGCCGAGTCAGTAGGATAAGACCCTATTGGTGCACTGCACTTTGGCTAACAGGCAGAAAATGAGGGGCAGGCACTAACTCGGGTGTGTGGATGCGTGTTGGGAAAGACTAGACAAGCAAAGGATTCTCTTGTGGCCAAGTTACTTGTTCTCAAGTTTGTTGTGTGACTGAGGGCACGCGAATGCCTCCCAGGTTCTGTTGTTGTGGTTGTTGTTAGGTGCCTACAAGTCAGCTGTGACCCCATGCACAACAAAATGAAACGCTGCCCGATACTCGCTACCCTCACAATTGTTCTTATGTTTGAGTCCTTCATGGCAGCCATTGTGGAAATCCATCTCACTGAGGGCCTTGCCCTCTTTTGCTATCCCTCGACTTTACCAAGCCTGTCCTTCCTTCTCCAGGGACTGGCCTCTTCTGACATGTCATGAAAATGTGTACTTGGACTTGATGGTCTCTATGGTCTCTCCAGGTCTAGGGTTTGCTGGTCATGCTGATGGGTTCGTTAGTGGTCTGGAGAAGGTCTAGAGGGCAGTGGTGGCACAAGGAGAGAATTCACAGCTGGGTTTGATTCCCAGCTCATGCACTTCAACTACAGTCACCACACAGCCATCAGTCATCTGTCAGCGGAGGCTTGCATGATGCGATGGGGCTGCGTAGGTTTCAATGG